TTTGTCATTTACCTCAATAACTTTTCTTTAAATTTTTTTTTAAGAGAGAGCAAGAATTTTTAAATATTTATTTACTTTTTTTTTGTTTTCAGCGGACACAACATCTTTGTTGGTATGTGGGGCTGAGGGTCGAACCCGGGCCGCACGCATGCCAGGCGAGCGCGCTACCGCTTGAGCCACATCCCCAGCCTCTCAATAACTTTTCTTTCACTTTTTTTTTTAGTGCTATTTTGAGGAGCTGGGGTTGTGGCTCAGAGGTACAGCACTCGCCTAGCACGTGTGAGGCCCTGGGTTCCATCCTCAGCACCACACAAAAATAAATAAAAAATAAAGATGTGTCCAACTACAACTAAAAAATAAATATTTWAAAAAATGCTGTTTTGATACCCGTTGCCTCTCCAGGCTCACTGGGTGGTGATTTCAGCTCTGGGTTTAAGTCTCTGCTCCCTCCACCTAGGGCTGCTCCTTGGGATTCTTCAGCACCCCGTGGGTCTCCTGGTGATCGGACGGTGGCCTCCTAGGGGCTCCTTGGGCTCCCAGGGGGGGTTCCTGTCCAGTTGCTCCCTGCAGGTTCTTTGTCGGCCTCCGGTCCTCTGGGTCCCTGAGCAGGTGCGCCCTCCCAACTCCCGGGCCTGGGCCTGCCTGCTCCCTCCTGGTCCTGATCCAGCTGGCCCAGGGGAGCACATCTGCCCTGGTTTCCTGTGGAGAGTCTGGGTCACAGGTCACAGGTCACTTCAGAAGGCTGAAGAAGGGGCCAAGGCGCATTCTGCCATCTTGCAGAACACAGTCCTGGCTGGCTGCCCTGGCTGCGTGCTGGGGCCAGGCCCGCGGTGGATGCTTTGCTTTCTCCCGCCATCGCCAGTCCTCCCACCGCATGCTGGGTACCTCGCACTCCTCTGTGGGCCCCTCAGGTCTCTGCGGGCGTCCCCTGCTCAGCCAGGATCTGGGGCCAGCTCTCCCCCTGGGCTCTCCCCTCCCTCACCACGCCCCTGCCTTTCTTCTGAGTTCTGGGACCACTGTTAGTTCTCTCTTGCGGACTTCCGGTGGCCTCTTCACCCTGCCATCACCTTCTTAATTGTAGGACCCTTTCTCACTCTTCCCATCTCCACCCTGTGGGCCTTGTGCTGATCTATGGGAAATGGTCTCCCGTCTCTTGGAAAATGCTACTTACAAAATCTGAACTTTTTTTTGGTTCTCTGCAGAGGGTCTGCTGTTCCTGCAGAGTTCTTTCCCTGGTCTTTATGTTTAGGAATTTCTGGAGTCTGGTCTGGCCGTGGGGCAGCCCCAGCAGGTACTGTGAGTGGCATGTCACCCCACAGAGGCCATCGGCCAGGAGAGAGCAAGCCCCATTGAGGGTCCCTATGCCATTAACGAGACCCTTGGGGTCGCAGCTGCAAAGACCTGCAGCTCACAGCTGCACTCCCAGAGGGCCCGGCGGAAGGCCACCATCACTGGCACCCTCGAGCAGCCACCTCCTGCAAGGGCAGAGCCAGAAGAGAGCCCTGTGACAGCTCCTCACAGACTGCATGTCCCGGGGACCACAGGGCCTTCTGCCAGCACCTGGGCACAAGGCAGTTGAGTCTGGCCTGCTTGGGCCCCGAGAGACATGCAGGGTGTCTGGGTCCCCTGACAGAGCTGCCTTCCTGTGTCATATGTCCTGGCTGGGACTCATGTTGGAAGCACTGAGGACTGCGCTGACCACTGGGATGCCCGCCTCCACATCAGGGCTGCGTGTCCTGGGGTATATGTGGGGTTCTCTCTCCAATTTCAGTCTGGCCCCCTGGGACTCTGCTGGACCTGGCACTCCAGGGTTTCTGCTGGCTCAGTGTCCTCCCGAGTGGGGAGCTGACCGGGCGCCTCGCTCCTTATGGAGATTCTCATCCATCTGCCTAACAGTATCTCCTGTCCCCGGTTGGGGAGGTGCCTGGGGGTGGAGCTCCAGGCTCCACTGAAGCTGGGTGGGCTGGCTCCCTGCATCCTGCCCAGGGGTCCCAGGGGCCCTTGTCACTCTGCAGGTGGCAGGACCCTGGCTGCCCTCTCATCCTCCTTCTCCTAACTTGGGGGTTGTGCTCCTGGCTCACAGGTCACTTCAGAGGGCTGAAGAAGGGGGGAAGGTGCATTCTGTCATCTTGGCGTACGCCGGTCACCGCTCATCTTCCCTCCCAACTAGAGCCTCTGGCCGGCCAGTTGGTGCTCGCGGTTGGACAGAAGTTGGTGTGTAGGATGCGGAGGGCGTCTCACGACCTGCGCTCTTCCTGTGCGAGACCACGGCGGCGCTGACCTTTCGGCCAGCCTTTCGTCTCCACAGTAGGTTTTGTCCTCACTGTTATTATGACGTGACTTACGTACAGTGAAACTGAAGACGACTTTGATAAGTTTCAGCAAATCTGTCCCCCAGTGACAGCACCGGTCTATCGTCCCAGAGTCTCCTGGAGCCCCCTCCAGGGATGCCCACCACTCCTGGCCCACAGGTGTGGCTCTGCCTTGGGTCACTACAGACCTGTCTCTGCTAGACAGCTGAGTGGGTGGCATCAGACAGAGAGGCACTGGGACCAGTCCCTGCGAGTTCCAGCTGTCTCAACGTCCCCAAGCACCACTTCCATCCACAGCTCAGCGAGGACATTGCACGCAGGGCCCCTCTGCACGCAGGGCCCCTCTGCACTCAGGGCCCCTCTGCACGCAGGGCCCCTCTGCCCTGCGGGCTGGACACGGGCTGCAGGCAGCCCTTCTCGAGCCGCGTGTTCTCAGACAACTGCAGGTCCGTCAAGGTGCCTGAGCTGCACTGCCGGTCGGAGCCTTCTCTTCAGCCTAGGGACCTCCCTCGTGCCTGTGCGGCTGGCTCCTGGTCTTGGGCAGCACTGAGCCTGCCTGGTTTCTGCAGACTGGCCTCGACTCATGGGTCACGCTATGGAACCACTCGCATGTGGCCTTCTGACCGGCCTCTTCCTGAGGCGCCGTGTGTTGAGGCACATGGTGTTGATGCGCTATCAGAAGTCCCTCACTTCTGCTGGGCTGCTCTGTACCAGCTGATGGACATGCGGCTAGTGTGCGTCAGGCTGCACCCATGTCCCAGTCCTGCTCAGACACGCGCCCATTTCTCTCCAGCAAATGCAGGGGGCGGGCAGGAAGAGCGGATGGGTCCTCTGGAAACTCTGATCTAACTTCTTAGGAAAGCGTGAACTAACTCCTCTCTCAGGGGGGCCCACCAGCCATGCCCCGAGGCCCGTGTCTCTCTGTACCCTGGCCAACCCCTGTGCCACCTTTCTAGTGAGTGTCAAGGGGCATCTGGGTTTCGTTTCATGTCTTCTTTTCTGTTTTTGGAAGTGCTGGGATGGAGCCCTGGGCTGCGCTCACTAGGCAAGCCCCGCCCAGGCCCTGGGGGTCACTTCCAGCAGCGTCTCCCCCTGTGGCCGGGGCCCACCACGGTCCCCTCTGGGCGCGCCTGGGGGACTCCCTGGCTCCTCCTGGCTCCCACACTCCTTGGACTGCTTCCTGCTCTGCCTGCCTGGACGGCCTCCCGTGGACACAGCCTGCCGCCTGGCCCTTGCAGGACCCACTCCAGCTCTCCGCTCTGCTGCCCTCTGGGCCATGTCCATTTACCTAGTCCATCCTAATCTGCCTAAACAGCACTTTAACCTGTAGGTTGAGATTCTGAAAGTGAACTTCCCTTAAATGGCATCTGTCATGACACAGTTCGCGGTTACAGGATAACCAGTAGCGAGGAACCCGGCCTTCCCTACGGACTAGCCTAGCCCAGAGCTCGGCCTCCGCCACCCGCCACCAACTGGCTGTTTGCTTTCTTGAGCGGCACTGTTCTTGAGAGCTGCGGCTTCCCCTAGAGAATTCCCACTGCACCTGTGACAGTGTAGGTCCTACCCTGACTCAGTGTGGACACCCACAGGAAACCTGCTGTCCACCATACCACAGGGAGGCACATACACGGCAAGCAAAGGGGGTTCCCCCCGAGTCAGGRAATCCAAATCACTGAGCTCAGAGAGGGAGGGGCCCTGCGTGGGAGAGAAGAGGCTACTGTCAGGCCTCCTGGGGAGAGACCCAGGCCGCCCTGGGCAGAGGAGGGAGAGGCTGCTGACTGTGGGGGAGACTGTAGGGGTGCTGGACTACTGGTCCGACAGACCAAGGTCCTAAGGTGCCCAATCCAGAGGGGAGCGTGCAGCCCCTGGACCCTGCCCGGGGATCTGTGGAGAGCACGCCACCCACTAGGGGTCTGTGACGCTCCCTCGGAGATGCATGGCAGGTGCCATCTCAGGACGTGGCAGTCAGTGAGCAGAAGCAGCCCCTGGGAGCCTTCCAAGCCTTCAGGGTGCCTGGGAGACACACAGAGCTGCAGGAGCAGGGGCAGGAGAGAGAGGGGAGGCGTCCCCAGCACCCCAAGACCCTGGAGATCCGAGACCATGACCCTCAAAAAATGACATGGACCAGTCAAGGTCACAGAGGCCACAGAAGCCTAGGGAACAGGGAGCCAGAGGAGCTGCACTCCTCAGAACATTGCCCGGCACAGAAAAATCTTTCTGGAACTTTCTCCTCCCAGACATGGTGGAGAACATGACCTTAGTCATGATAAACTTGGACCAAGAATCCAAAGAGCCCGGACATAAACATTGAAGACAGAATATCAGAGAAGTTTCACAATGTCCCACCTTTGGGAGTAGCCATGGGCACCCAGCAGTAAAAGGCACTCTGCAGGGGTGGAGAAGCTCACCCGCGCCAAGGGTCACCAGAGCCAGCAACAGCTGGACCCTGAGGTGTAGAAAGGGAAAAGTGTAAGTAGGAAGCAAGTCACAGGGTGAGGTGGAGTTTGTGTTGCTTTACTACAGCACATGACCTCCTGGGAAAACAGAGACAGAGACAGGAAGTGACCAGTGTCCAGCTTCACACCTGACCCCTGGCAGGAATATAAAGCCCTGGCTCCTCCAGAGGCCCCACATCTCAATCTTCCCTCTCCACTTGCTCCTCTCACCTCCTCCACCCTCCACCTCCAGAACCATGACCTGCTGTGGCTGCTCMGGGGGCTGTGGCTCCAGCTGTGGGGGCTGTGGCTCCAGCTGCTGCAAGCCCKTGTGCTGCTGCAAGCCCGTGTGCTGCTGTGTGCCAGCCTGTTCCTGCTCCAGCTGTGGCTCCTGTGGGGGCTGCAAGGGGGGCTGTAGCTCCTGTGGGGGCTGCAAGTCCAGCTGCTGCCAGGACAGCTGCTGCAAGCCCTGCTGCTGCAAGTCCAGCTGCTGCCAAGACAGCTGCTGCCAGTCCAGCTGCTGCAAGTCCAGCTGCTGCAAGCCCTGCTGCTGCCAAGACAGCTGCTGCAAGTCCAGCTGCTGCAAGCCCTGCTGTTGTCAGTCCAGCTGTTGCAAGCCCTGCTGCTGCCAGGACAGCTGCTGCAAGTCCAGCTGCTGCAAGCCCTGCTGCTGCCAAGACAGCTGCTGCAAGTCCAGCTGTTGCAAGCCCTGCTGTTGCCAGTCCAGCTGCTGCAAGCCCTGCTGCTGCCAGGACAGCTGCTGCAAGCCCTGCTGCTGCCAGGACAGCTGCTGCAAGTCCAGCTGCTGCAAGCCCTGCTGCTGCCAGTCCAGCTGCTGCAAGCCCTGCTGTTGTCAGTCCAGCTGTTGCAAGCCCTGCTG